TATCCCCACAGTTGCCAACCAGTTCGTGCCTATTGGAAGCCCACAAATAACACTTGCAACAGCGCCTTCATGTTTGTGTTCCCTAGCAACTGGTACTACTGTTTACGATGGAGGAAACTTATAGTTTCCTGACTAGCAGTTATTGAAAGTCTTATCCTTCATGAATTTCTAATCCAGTTTTAAAACCATTCAGCCTAGTGGGCATTGCTGCATTGTGCAATAACAAATGCCACAATTATGCACAGTGTAAAGGTCCTCCTGTAATCTGTCCTAAATCTGCCACCCTTCGGATGCAATAGACGATCTTAAAAATCAGTGCAGACAATGACAATCTGTTACACCCAGCCATAGTAACCCACTCTTTGTATTGTGGGCTTGGCACCGAGTCCTTTGGGAAGATGGTAGCGGGGTATAAATAAAGATTATTATTATTATTATTATTATTATTATTATTATTATTATTATTCTCCTGGATGAATCAATATATATTAAAGGCGATGTGTCTGCTTCCAGGGGTTTCCAGTTCGCATGAAAAATACCTTGGTCATTGTTTTCTTTAGAGGGTCAGTTTCTGTAACACATCCTTCATTGTGGCATTCTTGCTAAACCACGCTACTGCAAATCCCCTGGTTTAGCATGGTTATAATTTGCTTAAAGATGCCTGTTTGTAATAATCCAATTAAGCAGCCTAGCTTCAGGATAACACATTTGGATGGTGCTGACATTGTTACTAGCCCAACAGATTTCTCTCATGTGATTGATCTGACACTGTTTCCCCCAAAAATATAATAATTTGTATTTAGCTCCAGAACTGCAAGCTTTTGCACAGTGGTGAAAAGGGACTAGGGTTGAAATGGTATTGAGAAAGAATGGCTGAAAGTTGGTTACAAGAAAAGAATGTAAGGTCACTGGACTATTGTGCACGCGGAGGCTCACTGCGGAGTGCAACAGCTTTCCTGCTGGGAAAGGCCAATTCTGACAGCATGGAGGAGAGCAATACAAACACTCAGATCCTTTACAGCATGCTGAGCAAAGCAGTACATCTGTGATGACAAAGGATTATTTAATGTGGTGGATGGATATAAATATTTAGACTCAATAAATAGCAGTTAGGAAAGAGAATAAAACACAACATATGTGAATTCTCAAACTGCAGCATACAATGGGATATATTCAAAGACCCAAAAAACATTTGGCTTTGGCAGAGGTAAGGCTCTCATAAATTCACGAATCCACCAAAAGCCATAGAATCATATGTTATAGTTTGAGAGGACTGGAGAAGAAACTATTTACCTGCATTCAATTCACTTGGTCTTAAACTAAACAAACCACAAAAGCTGCTGAGTGGGGGATGGTCTCTGCCTGAAGCATCATGGAAGCATGAACATATTGATCCTCATGTAAATCTGTTGACTTTCAATTCCATGGACCTCTGGCAAGGTGTCGAAGTCATATGTTGATGTGATTTTCATTCCTACTTGCATGACCATGATTCCAGAAAGGGATGCTAAGAGATTACTGCCCAACTAGTTGACAGTTGTGCTTTGAGGTATGAGGGTTCGATTGGTTCTTACTTGCTGTTTAATATCTACATGAAGACACTGGGGTAGATCACATATAGATTTTATCTGAGGTCCTACAGTATGCAGATGACACCCAGCATCACCATTCCCTATCTTTAGATACAGATGAGGTTTCGGTATAGTAAAGGAGAGTGCACTGAAATTCAGTGAGGACTAAAAAGGTATATTGGCCACTGGCTTATCCACTCATCTGACCTAGTGCTGTTAATAGATATCAAGTGAGTTCTGTGAGTCAGAGCACCTTTTATCAGCTTCAGCAGTTGCAACTTTATCTAAATGGGGACACCTTGGCCTTGATTATCTGTGGTTTAGTAACTTCACATTTAGACTACCAAGTATGTGGGCTGGTCTTAAAAATAGTTCAGAAACTTCAGTAAGTCTGGGAAGGGAAACACAAATTCTCACTGAAACAGAACATTTTGATCACAAACCTTAAATAGTTTGGTATGAGATTATTTTGGAAGACCAGCTTCTACCACATGTACCAACCTGAAACTTAAGATCCTCAACCTTGAGTGTCCATGCTGGGTGAAGTGAGGTGGGATCGACAAGGGAGAGGACCTTTTTGATAGTAGCACTGAACATGTTGGAGAGTGTTCCCAGAAAGCCTGCCTGGTGTTGTTTTTATGGTCTTTTTGGTGTCTGACAGACAGAAACTTGCTCAGGCCTTTAAAATGTAGCATAATCTTGCTCTCCATAATCCATGGTATCAAAAGCCTTTCATCGTTTTTGCACTTTTAAACACATCTCTCTCTGTCCTGAAAGCCTCCTAGAGAATTCTAGTTATGAGTTGGCTATTCAAAAGTTGTAAAGTAAATAAAATAATCCTCTCAGAAAGTGGCTATTAGACACTAAACACCACTGTGTGGATGCTGGCTGTTTAAAGAGACAAAATAAAAATGGCTTCTGGCCGTGAAAGAGAGACACAACATCCCGGTCTCCTACCTGAGTACCTGTGCAAAAATAGCCAAGATAATAATGCTCCTTATTTACAGTAATTTATTTTCTGTGATGTGATATGCATTTGCTGTACTGTCAGTTGTTATGCTTTGTTATTCCCATCACCGTCATGCTTTTCCTGTGAAAATACTGAATCCTAGCTCAACAGGCAGTGGCTGTCTTTCTTAGACTTTCAGGATTGAATCATCTTGCCATTGTGTGCTAGCTTTTTAAGTCCTCAGCTTGGCTCCTTTCACTTAGCCACTGACTGCTGGAAAGATCCAAACAGAATGACAGGATTGGCAAAAGAATCCTGGTATCATTTGACCAGCATGGCCAGATATGATTCTGCTTCTGTGGTCACACTTCATTCTAAAATAAAAAGGGATCTCTGTGGACGCCAAAACTCCCAGCTTGCTATCCTCTTTTAGGATGAAAAGAACGGACATGGTGGGCCTTGCCAGGAAAAAGAAAGGCACGTCAGCTGGGAGTGGCACTTTCCTTTGCCCTCTGAAAAGTGGTCAGGCATTTTCAGGCAATGATGAGGTCTGATGCCAAGCCTCCCTTGAAGGGTGTGATCCCTAAGCCCCTGTTGTGACCACTTAAAGTTTGCTTGTGTGGTGCATGCAGTCTGAAAGAATTACATTGAAGGGGCCGTGCCAATCTTTTGGCAACTTATTTTAGGGATGCACACTCCTCATGGGTAGATTGTCCACGTGGTGTGTCCTGCACTTTCTCCCCCCCCCTCCCCCTCTTGACTTTTCTCTCTCTTGCTCTGCAAGTGAAAGAAGGAAGAAATGTGCCCAAAGCGGTAAAAGATTTTTCTGGCATCAAAAGCAGGATTTGCCTTCTTTTGATCTTTTGTGCCTCGGGCAGCCCTGCTGATTTTCTCCTCCTCTCTCCCCAAAGACCTCCCTCTTCCTTCCCAGAAAGGAGGTTTTGGGTGTTTTGACTATAAATGGCAGCCAGCCATAAATGGTTTCTGCACAGGCGCTCTCTTCTTTCCTCCCCATTTCCCCCTCCTGCCTCTGGTTTGTTGCCATAGTGATGAATACTTTCCTTTTTCCTGAGAGCGGCATTGTATTAACGGAACTGTGCAGCCGTGATTAACTTAAAATGATGACAGCGTTTGAGTGGGCTACAGATCTGAGCATATCTATCTGTGGCAAAGATACATAGGCACCTTTAGCCCAAACATCGCATACCTCTTCTAAAAGAGAGAAAGAGATGATAGACTATCACAATTGTGCAAAAATAGAACAATGTTGCTAACAAAACATACTTTAAAGCTTTTAATTATTATTATTTTCATTTTTGTTGCTCCTTCCTTCCAAAGGGAATGTGAAATTCAAAGCCTGTGGCTCCAAAGTGCATGGTAGAAGTCAGTTGTCCTGCATTTGGAAAACAAGCTTGTGGACCGGGCTGTGGCGCAGCTAGTTAGTAGCCAGCTGAATTAAATCACTACCGACTGAGAAGTAATGAGTTTGAAGCCAGCCCGGTTCAGGATGAGCCCCCGACCATTAATAGTTTAGCTTGCTGTCGACCTATGCAGCCCGAAAGACAGTTGCATCTGCCAAGTAGGAAATTTAGGCGGGGAGGCTAATTTAACTAATTTACGATGCCATAAAACCTTCCAGCAGTGTGCAGAAGAATGAGGAAGTACTCAATCAGAAGACCGGTGGCACAAGTGGATGGTGAAGCAGCAGGTCCGCCTGTGGCCAGAACCAAGCATACCCTTAGGAAACCGGAAATTCTGGAATGTTAAATTGTCTCTGTGTCTGTCTAGATATGTTGTATGTCTAAATGGCATTGGATGTTTGTCATGTATATGTGCATTGTAATCCACCCTGCATCCCCTGTGGGGTGAGAAGGGCGGAATATAAATACTGTGAATAAAATAATTATCAAATAAGGCTCTAATCCTCTGCCCTTTAAAAAAACCCAAATCCCCACTGGACACAAATTGACTTGTTCCCGGAAAGCACGTATGGGGTTGGCCTACACATCAACTGACATTTGTCACATTTCACAAAACAGCTTCTCCTTTCTAAAGTAATGAGATGTTTTAGTACTTACTCTATCTCAGTGTACAATGACATTGGATACATCTATATAGATCGTTCCTAGTCTCGTTACGCACAAAACGTGTGCATTTGTCTCTGATCTCACTCAATATCCTGTACAGAGGAAGTGTATTTGAGAAACTTTATATGGGATAGATTGTTCTACTTCTCTAAGTAGCCTGAGCCCATCTCTGTATCAGGTTGCTTAGCCATTAGCTTTTGCTTATTTCCAAATGTGTGTTCATTAGATTTGGTTGCGTGTTCTCTCAGACAAGTATAGCTAGTATATGGCTGAGAGAATGTTGTCCTAGGGAAAAATGCCAATGCAGCCATTTAATTTCATTCTTCCAAATGACATTTTAGCCTGAGCTGAACCACTCTACTAAGCTTTACCACCACTTTTTTCTCTCTGCAGCTACCTGAATGATTTGGAGAGGATAGCCAGAGTGGATTACATTCCCACCCAGCAAGATGTGCTGAGGACCAGAGTGAAGACTACAGGCATTGTAGAGACTCACTTTACCTTCAAGGACTTACATTTCAAGTAAGTACGTAAGCTGCATGGCATAACTTTGCCAAGCTAATTGTCACTGCAGGGTAGATGGAACAAGGATTTCATCTATTAAAACATGTAGCACAGAGGCAGCCAGCAATGGATATAACTTACCACACCACCGCTGCTACAGGTTGGAGGACTGTAACTTAAAGAAGTACTAATCTGTCTTTCTTTTCCTTTTTTGATGTATGAAAAAGGATGAATGTTAGCCGAGATAAAAGATGACTACTCTCCTCTCAGTGCAGCTGAAAGCTGCAGATTTACACTGGTGCCGTCACTTTTTGGTTTTTAATTGTGTATTGATGGGCAAAGTTTGGGGCAACCCAAGCTTTTCACTGGTTGAAAAAAGCTTTCTTGAGAGATGGTAGGGTCTTTTTCTCCTCCCATGAATGCTAGTTTAGTAATCAAAAGTACTCTGATTCTCTTGAAAGGAGAGAAGATATGTCTGCCAATATGCAGGTGGTAACAGTAAAGTCTCTGCCAGTTCCCATCCCTGCTCTATCCTGTGCATAGGACCCTTTTTCACAACAGTCAGGTGAAGTTTGTGGTAGAGACATTAGCTATCATTAAATCTGTCCACATGTGTTGCAATGGGCTGGAACTATTGAGGAGGAGTCTTTTCTGAAAAGTTGCTTTTCTGAATTGTTTGAGTGCAGGTGAAAAGAACTGAGCCTTGAAAGAAAGAAACATCAAGGGGAAAAGCAATATGAACCAAATGGTTCAGACATGAGAGTAGGAGGATGTAGTTTATGATGATGTCACAGGCACCATCCCCGGCAAAACAGCTGAATTAGTGACGGCTGCATAATCCTCTGGGAAAAGCATACAGACGAACATGTCTATGTGGTAAACTGAGAGAAATGTCAAGCCAATATGGGTGTCTGGCATTTGGCATTACACGTCGTTTGTGTCATACTCAACATTGCTACTCACTGTATGCATGTATTTCTAGCATTCTATAAAAAGACCTCAGAGTGATATATGTCAATATAAGCTCAAATGATATAAAATAGTTCCAAAAACAGTTACAACTGTAAAAGGTAATTTTAAACAGTTAAACGGATGCACCATCACCTCCCCATTTAAAGGATGGTCATTTTGATGCCATCAATATTGAGATACTTTTCAAAGCAGTGGAAAATCAAGTCATAGAATCATAGAATCGTAGAGTTGGAAGTGACCTCATGGACCATCCAGTCCAACCCCCTGCCAACAAGCATTCAAAGCACCCCCGACAGATGGCCATCCAGCCTCCGATTAAAATTATTTATTTATTTATTTTAATAATAATTTTTATTGATTTATCACAATTGCTACATTTGTTATATATTTGTTGTTACTGTTACATTTTGTACAGCACACTCTTTAACATGTTGTTTTATTATTTTGCTTTATTATTTACAGTATTTCTATACCTCTTTTCTCACCTCTAGGGGGACTCAAAGCGGTTTACACATAACTGACAAAACTTCAGTGCCATACATTGGACACTGACGCGATGCCAAACCATAACAACCACAATAATAAAACCACAATTAAACATATATCATAATTAGACAGTACATAAGCAATCATTAAAACAATAAATAATAAAAACAGTCTCGCCAATCATATTGTCATTCTAGTCCATGTCCTTTAAACTCTACAAACATCTACTGTCCGAAGGCCTGGTCCCAAAGCCATGATTTTAATTTCTTTCTAAAAACCAGGAGGGAGGGAGCAGATCTTACCTCATTTGGGAGCCTCAAAGAAGAAGCCTCCATCACACTCCAGGGCAGAGAGTTCCACTGCTGAACAGCTCTCACAGTTAGGAAGTTCTTCCTAATGTTCAGATGGAATCTCTTTTCTTGTAGTTTGAAGCCGTTGTTTCACATCCTAGTCTCCAGGGTAGCAGAAAACAAGCTTGCTTCCTCCTCCCTATGACTTCCTCTCACATACTTATACATGGTTATCATGTCTCCTCTCAGCCTTCTCTTCTTCAGGCTAAACATGCCCAGCTTTTTAAGCTGCTCCTCACTTGTTCTCCAGACCCTTGATCGTTTTAGTCGCCCTCCTCTGGACACATACCAGCTTGTCATCATCTCTCTTCAATTGTGGTGCCCAGAACTGGACACAATATTCCTGGTGTGGTCTAACCAAGGCAGAATAGAGGGGTAGCATGACTTCCCTGGACCTAGACACTATACTCCTGTTGATGCAGGCCAAAATCCCATTGGCTTTTTTAGCTGCAGCATCACATTGTTGGCTCATGTTTAATTTATTGTCCACAAGGACTCCAAGATCTTTTTCACACGTACTGCTCTCAAGCCATGCGCTCCCCATTCTGTATCTTTGCATTTCATTTTTTCTGCCTAAGCGGCATATCTTCCATTTGTCACTGTTGAACTTCATTTTGTTAGTTTTGGCCCATTTCTCTAATCTGTTAAGATCGTTTTGAATTCTGCTTCTGTCTTCTGGCATATTGGCCATCCCTCCCAATTTGATGTCGTCTGCAAACTTGATGCTCCTGCCTTCTAACACTTCATCTAAGTCATTAATAAAGATGTTGAACAGGACCGGGCCCAGGACGGAACCCTGTGGCACTCCGCTCGTCACTTCTTTCCAGGATGAAGAGGAAGAAGTGCCGAGCGGCGTGCCACAGGGTTCTGTAACAGTTATCTTTTCAATACTGCAGTGAACAAGTTACTAGCCAAACCTACAGTGGGTAACAAGAATGAGCTACTTTTTAAAAACTGCTTTCCCAATCCTACCATTTGTGTGTAGGGAACTACACAGTTAATCGTAATGTGAAACACAGCAATTTCGATTGTCTGCCAGCACAGCAAAAATTACACCAATTGCTGTTTCTTCCTTGTTGCAAACTGGGGAGATGGAACAGTTCAAAATACCCTGCATGTGGTCATTCTAAAAAGAGCTACTTTTCAACAAAGGAATTTGCTGACTTGTTAGAAAGGAATGATGCTTCTCAACACTATAAGAGAGCCGGATTTACAGTTGGAACAACTTTTAACCAGACATTTATTGATGCTTTCACAGGGACCTGCTTTTTCTCTCGCTCTCTCTTCCTTGGCTTGCATAAAGGAAAGCTGTGGAGTTTTAAAAATTGTTTTGTAACCCTTCCCTGGGAATGTACTTGCCCCTGGGCTCAATTAGAAAAGAGAGCATGCTGGTCTACTATAACTGGAGCATAAGTTGAACGAAGCAACTTCTGGCATAAGACTGTCCAGTTGAGATGATGCCAATGTAATCCTCTTGGCAGTTGTCACTCCTGAATGCAAAAAGAAATCATCACTGTGGAAACTCTTTGTAAAAGTTAGGATTACACTGCAAGAGGCCCAAAATGACAACATATTTACACACAAATAAAACAAACAATGCTACATCAAATCAAGAGTGACATAAGTGATAATCTTGGTTGTGCCTTGCGAAAAGAAAAGGAAAGTCAAGTCTCCGAGCTTACAAAACTTGGACTACCTGACAAGCTAAGGATGCAACCAGTAAATTATTTGTTTGTGTTTGTATACTATCCACTGTACTTAGTCTTTCTTCTGTTAAGCCAGCATAGTCCAAGAGGAACAATTATTGCCTCAATGACTATAGGACAAAAGAAGATGGAATGATTTACTATACTGTTTGCTGGCAAGTTTCCTGGCTTAGTAGGTGGTTCTGTTTATTTGTGCTGTACTCGTAATAAATGAGTATCATCCTGTTATTGAGGCATTGGGGGCTTCGGTGAGTTAGAATGCTTAAGAATAAAACATAATCACAGTATTTTCTGTTGGTCATGGGGGTTCTGTGTGGGAAGTTTGGCTCAATTCATTGGTGGGATTCAGAAAGCTCTTTGATTGTAGGTGAACTATAAATCTTAGCAACTACAACTCCCAAATATCAAGGTCTATTTCCCCTAAACTTCACCAATGTTCACCTCTGGGCATATTGAGTATTTGTGTTACGTTTGGTCCAGATCCATCATTGTTTGAGTCCACAATGCTCTCTAGATGTAGGTGAACTACAACTCCAAAACTCAAGGTCAATGCCCACCAAACCATTCCAGTATTTTCTGTTGGTCATGGGAGTTCTGTGTGCCAAGTCTGGTTCAATTCCATCATTGGTGGGTTCAGAATGCTCTTTGATTGAGGCTAACTATAAATCCCAGTAACCGCAACTCCCACAACTCCCAAATGACAAACTCAAACCCCCCCCCAACCCCACCTGTATTCAAATTTGGGTTGTCTCAGGTATTTGTGCCAAACTTGGTCTGGTGAATGAAAATACACCCTGCATATTGATATTCACATTACGATGCATAACAGGAGGAAAATTACTGTTTTAAAGTCGCAACAAAAATAAATTTATGGTTGGGGGCACCACCACATGAGGAACTGTATTAAAAGGGTCGCCACGTTAGGAAAGTTGAGAAACACTGGACTAAAGGGACATAACCAAATACTTTCCCAATCCTACCACCTCTCCATGATGCATGAAATTGCCATGTTGGAGAAGGGGGGCACCAGAGACTGTGTCATATATCAGTAATGAGAAAGAAAATACTTAACATCCACAGCACCCAGAAAAGACATGTGCAGGCATAATAAAAATGCACATGTATATGCCACTAACAAGATGCAAGTAATTCTTTGCCAAGGAAAGATAACTTTAAAGCAGCCATGCACAACAAGGTAGCAAGAAGCAGACAACTTTGACGCCTAAAGCCCCCTAGTAACCTACACTTGGTTATCATGGGGCCATAATCATGCAAAAACACCCTGATTGGAGTGGTTTAGCATTATTGAGGGAAATTTAAAGTAAAAATAACTGAAATTTATTTTAAATTCCTAGTGGTTTGGGGAGCTGAAGAAATTGAACTTTCCATACATCTGCTTTGGGGTCAATTCAGTGGCCAGCGAACTTCACAAGAGTGTGATGTGTATAATTAGAAATGTGACTGATTTTGATCCAGTTAAGGACCCTTGCCTGGTTGCTGTGAA